TTTGCTACTTCTGTAGTGTTTGGGATTTCACTGAAATGAATTTCTTTTAAATGTCTTTAGAGAAGCTACTGGATTTTCTAGACCAATAATAACTAGACATTACTATTAATAGTATCTAATAACTATTAGATATCACTGTAGTGATGTGCAGAACAATTTCTTTTCACAGACCCAATATTCTCATAATCCAAACTCAAATTTGAAAGATATGTAAATGGCATATAAAAATCACTTTACAAATTATTTTGTCCATGGTCATTTCTTTCTCTTTTGCTGCTCTCCAACAAATACTTCCCAGTATGAAAGTAATATGTAAGCACTGTAGCATGTGAAGAGAATTCTGGAATCAGAACTGGGCTTTTTCCTTAGCCCTCTAACTTAACAAGTCACACATTCATCACCAATCATTTCTGTTCTGTAAATAAAAAAAGAAATTGTGCAATTCTTCTAAGAAATAGATGGTACCAAATCATAGATTATGTACTCAATGAATGTTAATTTTCATTCTATGAGTTGTTTTAAAATATGATGCTCCTTTAAACTGAATTACATATGGACCTCATGCGTGTGGTCAAAAAGATCATGCAGAAAATCCCATGCTTGCTTGAGCTTTCCGGAGCACATGTGAGAGTGTCCTTTGATTAATTGCTATACTCAATATCTGAAACACCTTTACCATTTTTTCCCCCAGCACTGCTTTTAACATTTAAGATTGCTTCTGGGTTGTGGTTTTGTCCCTAACCCTGGTCAGGGTGGTATAAGAGGCAACCAATCAATGTGTCTCTCTCAAATCAATGTTTCTCCCCTCCCCCCTGCCTCTCTTCCTCCCTCCCACTCTATCTGAAGATAAATGGAAAATATCATCAGGTGAGGATTAAAAAAAAAAAGATTGCTTGATACACTGCAAACACTGAAAAACAAAACAACAAACAAACAAAATCCAACTTAAGCCTTAATAACAAGCAATGGAGAATTTATGAAGTTACAAAAATTTTTTAAAGCTATCACTAATTGTACTGAAAGTGACAGCCAGAGCAATTAGGCCAGAAAAAGAAATAAAAGAAATCCAAATTGAAAAGGAATAATTAAAATTACCTCTGTTCACAGAGCACATAATTTTGTATATAGAAAACTCTAAAGATTTCACAAAAAACTATTAGAACTAATAAGTGAATTCAGCAAAGTAGCAGGATACAATGTCAATGCAAAAATCAGTTGCATTTATATACACTAACAATGAACAATCTGAAAATGAAATTACAAGAATAATTCCATTTCCAATAACATCAATAAGAATAAAATGAAGAAATTAGCCAAAATGTGAAAGATTTATACAATGAAAACTCCAAATCATTGCTAAAAGAAACTAAAAAAGACATAAATAAATGGAAATATATTTCATGTTCATGTTAAGATGTTAACACTACCTACCCAAAGCAATTTATAGACACAAATGAATCCGTTTCAAAGTCTTAGCAATTTTTTTTTTTTTTGCAAAATTAGAAAAACTCATTTTAAAATTTATGTAAACTCTAGATACCCCAAATAGCCAACATTATCTTGAAAAAGATGAACAAAGCTAGAGGACTCACAATTACTGATGTCAAAACTTATTAGAAAGTAGCAGTAATCAAAACAGTATGGTACAAGTACAAAGACAGACATATTGACCAATGGAAGAAAATAGAGAGCCCAGAAACAAACCCTCTCAAATACAGTCAAATGACTCTACAAAGAAAGAAAACTACAGGCCAATATTCCTGATGAACATAGATGCCAAAATCCTGAACAAAATACTAGCAAATCAGACCCAGCAATACATCAAAAAAATTATTCACCATGACCAAGTGGGATTCATCCTAGGGATGCAAGGCTGGTACAATATTCACAAATCAATAAATGTGGTACACCACATAAACAAAATGAAGAATAAAAACCACATGATCATATCAATAGCTGCTGAAAAAGCATTTGACAAAATCCAGCACCCATTTCTGATAAAAATGCTCAGCAATGTGGGAATAGACGGATCATATCTCGACATTATAAGGCCATATATGAAAGACCTACAGCCAACATCATACTCAATGGGCAAAAACTAAAAGCATTTTCCTTAAGAACAGGAACAAGACAGGGATGCCCACTTTCGCCACTCTTATTTAACATAGTACTGAAAGTCTTAGCCACAGCAATCAAACATGAAGAAAAAAATAAAAGAGATCCAAATTGGAAAGGAAGAAGTGAAACTTTCATTATTTGCAGATGACATGATATTATACATGGAAAACGCTAAAGACTCCATCAAAAAATCTACCAGACTTAATAAATAAATTTGGCAAAGTAACAGGATACAAAATTAATGTCAAGAAATCGATGGCATTCTTACGTACCAATGATGAAGTCACAGAAAGAGAAACTAAAAAACAATTCCACTTACCATTGCGGCAAAAAATTAAGATACCTAGGAATAAACTTAACCGAAGAAGTAAAGGACCTATTTGCAGAAAACTACAGGACATTAAAAAAAGAAATAGAGAAAGATATAAAAAAGTGGAAGCACATACCTTGTTCATGGATTGGAAGAATTAACATCATTAAAATATCCACTGAATCTATAGATTCAGTGCAATTCCCATCAAAATACCAATGACATATTTTACAGAACTAGAACACATATTTAAAAAGTTCATATGAAACCAAAAAAGACCTCGAATAGCCACTTTGTCCTTGAAAAAGAAGGACAGAGTAGGTGGGATCATAATACCGGATATCAGGTTATACTATAAAGCTACTGTAATTAAAACAGCCTGGTACTGGCACAAGAACAGGCATATAGACCAGTGGATCAGAACAGAGAACCCAGAAATGGACCCAAGACATTATGCTCAATTAATATTTGTCAAGGGAGGCAAGAGCATACAATGGAGTAAAGATGACCTCTTTAATAAATGGTGTTGGGAAAACTGGACAGCTACATGGAAAAAAATGAAATTGTGTATGGTGATACACAAGAAAAACTCAAAAAGGATAAAAAACTTAAATGTGACACAGGAATCTATAAAAATCTTAGAAGAAAATGTAGACAACAAAATTTTAGACATCATATGCAGCAGAATTTTCACTGATACATTACCTAAGGCAACAGAAACAAGAAAAAATGAACACATGGGACTACATCAATCTCAAAAGCTTCTGCACAGCAAAAGAAACAACCATCAAAATGGAAAGGCAACCCACTGTATGGGAGAGCATAACTGCCAATGATACATCAGATAAGGGATTAATTTCCAAAATATATAGAGTGCTCATACAACTCAACAAAAGGAAGACAAAGGACCAAATTAATAAATGGGCAGAAGAGCTCGGCCCTGGCTGGTTTTGCTCAGTGGTTAGAGCGTTGGCCTGTGGTCCAGAGAGACCCGGGTTCGGTTCCCACTAAGGGCATGTACCTCGGTTGCAGTTTGTCCCCGGCCCTGATTGGGTTGTGCAGGTGGCAGCCACTCCACTTGATGTGTCCCTTTCACATCGATGTTTCTCTCTCTCTCTCTCTCTCTCTCTTTCTTCCTCTCTCTCCCTCCCACTCTATCTGAACAAAAATGGAAAAAATGTCCTCAGGTGAGGATAAAAAAAAAAATGGGCAGAAGATCTAAATAGACACCTCTCTAAACAGGACATACAAATGGCCAAGAGACATATGAAGAAATGTTCAACATCACTAATCATCAGAGAGATGCAAATTAAAACAACAATGTTTTAGAATGGCCGCCACACCTGTCAGAATGGCCGCCATCAACTAATCATCAAACAACAAGTGTTGGCGAGGGTGTGGAGAAAAGGGGACTCTAGTCCACTGCTGGTAGGGCAGACTGGGGCAGCCACTATGGAAAACAATATGGTGTTACCTCGAAAAATTAAAAATGGAATTTCCATTTGACCCAGTGATCCCACTTCTAGGAATATACCCTAAGAAGCCTGAAACACCAAACAGAAAGAATATATGTACCCCCATGTTCATAGTAGCACTATTTACAATAGCTAAGATCTGGAAACAGCCCAAGTATCAATCAGTAGATGAATGGATAAAGTTGTGGTATATATACACAATGGAGTATTATGCAGCTGTAAGAAACTCATCCTTTGAGATGACATGGAGGGACCTGGAGAGTATTATCCTAAGCGAAACAAGCCAGGCAGAGAAAGACAAATATCACATGAACTCACTTATTTGTGGAATATAATGAACATAACAACCTGAGGAATAGGGTAGACCCAGAGACGTGGAAGTAGGGTACAGACTGACAACCCTCAGAAGAGGGGATGGTGGGGGGTGGGAAGAGATAAAACAGAGAACTTATATGCATATACACATATCTGATAAACACGGACAACAAAGCCGGGGACGGGGTGGGGGGATCTGAAGGAGGGTGTCAATGGGGAAAAAAGGAGGAACATCTGTAACAAAAATAAATTAATAAAAAAAAAATATACGTAGTCAAATGATTTTTGACAGGATTACCAAGACCTTCAGTGGGGAAAGGACAGTCTTTTTAATACCTGGTGCAAGGAAAACTGGATAATCACATGGAAAGAATAAAGTTGGATCTTGACCTACCACCATGTATGAAAGTTAACTAAACTGGGTCTAAGATCTAAATATAAGACTTAAAACTGTAAAACTCTTAGAAGAAAACATGTAACAAAATCTTCCTGGGATTGGATTTGGTAATGATTTCTTGGATATGACATCAAAGGCAGAGGAAACAAAAGAAATAACAGACAAACTTGACTTCATAAAAATTTAAAAAATTGTGCATCAAAATGCACTATTAACAGGGTTAAAGGGCATTCCACAGAATGGAAGAAAATACTTGCAAATCACATCTGACAAGGGATTAATATCCAGAATATATAGAGAAGTTCTAAAACTAAACTAAAAAAACCAAACAACCTAATTCAAAAACAGACAAAGGACTCAAACATTTCTCCAAGAAAAACACATGGTGCTTGCCTCAGCAGCACATACACTAAAATTGGAACAATACAGAGAATATTAGCATGGCCCAGTGCAAAGATGATACAAATTCATGAAGTGTTCCATATAAGAAAAAAAAAGATAAAGAAAAATATACAAATGACCAATAAGCATATGAAAAGATCCTCAACATTTCTAATCGTTAGAGATATACAAATCAAAATTACAATGAGATCTATTTCACACCCATTATGATGGGTACTAGGATATGGAGAAATTGAAACCTTGTGCACTGTTGATGAGAATGTAAAATAGTGCAGCCACTGTGAACGTATGGTGGTTCCTCAAAAAATTAAAACTAGAACTACCACATGATTTAAGGTATAAACTCTCACAAATGGTTATTTGTATACCTATGTTCAAAATAGCATTATTTATGGTAGCTAACCACGGAAGCAACTTGTGTCCATAAACTGATGGATAAGCAAAATGTCATATATACATTCAATGAAATGTTATTTAGCCTTAAAAAGGAAGGACATTCTGACACATACTGCAACGTGGATGAAACTTGAAGACTTTATTCAAAGTGAAATAGTCAGTCATAAAAGTACAAATAAAGAATTATTCCACTTAGATGAGATACCTAGAGAGTAAAAATGTCATAGAAACAGGAAGTGAATATTGTTTTCCAGGGACTGCATAGAATGGGGAATGGGAAATTATTGTTTAATTGGGTATTCAATTTTAGTTTTACAAGATGAAAAGATTTATGGAGATGGTTGCAAATATTATGAAGGTATTTAATACCACTGAACTGTGCACTTGGAAAATATTAAGATGATAAATTGTTATGTGTATTTTATCACAATAAAAAAGTTAAAAGTAAACCCACTACCAGCAATAATTATCTCTAAAATTTCTTGAAGTTTTTTCCTAGCACCATGCTCTGCCTAACTTGCTGGGTGTGACCTGAAGAAGGTGTGTAGGAAGCTCTTTGCTGCCCATCTTGAAGAGGAAAAGGATAAAAAACATCCAAACTATTTGCCAAATTTGGTTCTGGCAGCTTACGATGGATTCTGGTGTCCACTGCTGTAAGAACCAGAATCCCTAGTACTTTATAGATATTGACAGGGTACTAAAATATGCTGCTTTGGGCATATGGACTATTTTGAGCTAAAGGTTATTTACTGAAAACTAGGAAATTTGGGAAAAAGCCCTAAAAACAGACACAAGTTATCTTTTGTAAAGAAAATTTAAATTTATAAAGAAAAATTTCATTTGTAGAGATATCTCCAATTCCCTCACCAGGAAGAGGGGGACTCTTAGCAACTCTTATCAATGGAGAAGGCACCAATTTAATTCTTCATAACAAACTTTACTAAACAACACTTGTTTACCATGCTTTTCCTGGTCACCTTCACATAACTTACCTTCTCTGCCCCAAAGCCCCAAACACCTTTTCTTTTGTTGGTATTTAAACTCAAGTTCTAGCTACCTCTTTGGGCTACTCATCAGTGGGTGCTCCCATGTATACATATGAGACATATATATATGTTAATAGTCTTCTATCTGCCATTCTCTTGTTAACCTGTCTTTGGCCAGTCTAGTTTATAGGGCTCCAGCTGGTGAAACTAAGCTAAGCAGAGGGACTTTCCCTTGCCTACAACATCCTCTTTTACCCTCTGAGCACAAACAATGGATGGGTTGCTTCTCAACCTGGGTTGAGCTTATGCTGAGCCCTAGTCCTGTGGTCACCTTGTTTTTCTTCTTGATAAAGTTTAAGGCTCACAGCGTCTTAGGCTGAATGCTTGGTCCTAACATTTGTTTCTGTTCTCTTTGATTTTCCTGAGGAACATTCATTAGCCAAAGGTGTGTGTGCAAATTCTTTCAGATAAAGTTCAACTATTTAATGAATTATTCAAAACTAGGGTATAGGCTTCTTCTCACCAATGGCCCTCCAGCTATAATAGAAGCAGGTTCTTCCACATTTGAAAATTTTGCTTCCCTTAAAGTCCACAACTTAATTCTTATTTTTGGCTTGAAGGATTCCTGGAGTTCTCAGCTCAACTGACTGTCATGGACATGACATGCTGTGGTTCCAAGGAGTCCCTGTCCGTTGCCTGTTTGACTCATTCACTTACAATGGAAAGTAAAAAATCTATTACTAAGTGACAATTGAGTCAGGTATAAATTATTAATAGATACCCAAACTATATCATTGATAAAGAACAGGATAGCTACATAGTCCCAAAGTATCTTATCACAAATCACCAATTATCACCTTAACTGAGTGATCAAAGTTAACATCATCAGTAATGAGAAAAATCCACATCATGTGCCTTCTGGTGTGTAATAGTGGTAGGAATACAGTAACACATGTGTAGTATTCCTGCCAAAACGCATAACCTGAATCTAACCATGAGGAATCACTGGAAAAATCTAAAGTGAGGGACATATGCCTGGCCTGTATTCTTCAGAAATATTAAGATAATAAAAGACTAACAAGTCATTCTAGATTAAGGAAGACAAAAGAGATATAAACACTAAAAGTAAAGTATGAGCCAGATTGGTTCCTGAATCAGATTTGTTTTTGTTTTTATTTTTGCTATAAAAGCTACCATTTAAAAATTGATAAAATTTAAAGTTCTATAGTTAGATAATATTATTCAAGGTTAAAATTCTTGACTTTGATCATTTTATTGTGGTTATGTAAGTGAATTCCCTTGTTAGGAAATATACACTGAAGTATTTAGCAGTAAAGGGGCATAGTACTGCAGCTTTATTTCAAAGGATTCAGAAAAATTATAACACACATATATATAAATACATATAAAATTATAACATAATATAAAAATTATAACTTCCATAGAGATAAATAAAATGTGGTGAAATATTAATAATTTTTGTATCTGAGTGAAGGGTATGTGGAAGATTTTTGTACTACTCCTAAGACTTTTCTGTACATTTGAAATTTCATAAAATGTTGAAAATGTATCACAAAAGTTAATAACATCAAAAACTTAAAAAAAAAACCACCCAGATGTAATTTCCATGAAGTGAGCAAGAATGTAAGAAGTTATTAATTTAGAGACTGTGAGACTTTTTCTGTAAAGAACCAAATAGTAAATATTTCAGACTTTACAGGCTCTGTGGTCTGTTGCAACTATTCAACTCTGCTGTTGTAGCTGAAAACAACAATATAGAAATAAAAACATGGCAGTGTTACAAAAAAATGTTATTGCCCTGGCTGGTTTGGCTCAGCGGTTAGAGCATCGGCCTGCAGTCCAGAGAGACCTGGGTTCGGTTCCCACTAAGGGCACGTACATCAGTTGCAGTTTGTCCCCGGCCCTGGGTCGTGTGGGTGGCAGCCACTCGATGTGTCCCTTTCATGTCGATGTTTCTCTCTCTCTCTCTCTCTCTCTCTCTCTCTCTCTCTTCCTCCCACTCTATCTGAACAAAATATGGAAATATGTCCTCGGGTGAGGATAAAAAAAAAATTTAATTTACAAAACAGGCAGTGGGCTGAATTTGGCCTGGGGGACTGTAGTTTGCCTATCCCTGTACATATTAGACTGTCGTGTTCTTGACAGTAAGGATGTTGTCTTCTTATTTGTTGCTGTTTCTCTGGGGCTTGGAACAAGATCTAACACTTCATTTGTCAAGGAAATGAGGATGGTCCTTTCCTACCTTGGCTCTGGGTCTTTGTTACAAGTGTAATCTTGACCAAATAACTTGCTATTTCTTCCCATAGTCTCAAGTTCTTATTCTTAATTAGTAATAGGGACATCACCTGTAACTACTTTGTAAGCTGTGACAATCAGAAGAGCTTTGATACTATTCCAAGTGAAGGGCTAAATAGACAGAAATTCCCATTAGGTCACGGGAGAGAATATATTCTTCCTTTTTGCTTATAGACCAGTTGCAGTTCAGTTGTAACCCTTCTAGAGCAAATAATGTTGAGAGTTTTTTTTCATTACAATCTTACTATGAGTCTTTGACCAGAAAGAACTCGATAACATGGTTGGGAAAACAAAACAGATAGAAGTGACAAAATTATAGAACAGTAGCAAATTCTTCCATATACCTGACCACCTTTATTTTTATCCTCCCTGTCTCAAGGCTTATATGTCATTGATCAATTAGAAGTCATCTCCCTTTTCTCTTAATTCCCATGTTATTCTGTCTATAGGTTGGATTATAATAATTTCTGGGCATATATTTTCTCTATTGATTTTCCCCACAGGAACAGCTTTGACAGCAGGACAAATAAATTCATCCCTGTGTGTGTGTGGGTTTGCCTGGGTGATTCTCCTTTTACTATACTTCTGTAGCCATTCAATGTTTCTTTTTATGGATAAATTCTTTCATTAGGTATGCTAATATATTTAATAAAGTACATTCAAATCTTACGGACTTGGCAGGAATTCTATCTTTCAAGTGACTGCCTATATATCAATTATAAGGAAGTACATGGTTTAACAAACCTTTAAAGACAATCTTTTTTACCCAATAGCTAAATTCTCAAGAGATCACTCACTGCAGCACTCTGTACTGACAATTGTAGAAAAATAAATTAGTATTTTCTTATAGCTGCATTTGAGGTTGGTGTCCTTTCCTGGACATCAATAATTATTCTGATTGTGTAAGATGGTGTTTTAGGAAATCTCATAAGCATTGTTCCTCCTTGTAACTAGTTCACTTGAGCTTAGGTATCCTGCTGTTGTATTATTTCCATGTGTCTACATTTGTGTATTTCCATTGTGATAAATATCTTCGTCCATCTTTATTATCTTCCTTCCTGTCTCAGAAGATAAAATGTCCCTCCCACTGCCCAACCCACAACAATATGTCTTCTGCCTATCCTCCACCTTCTTCACCCAAGAATGAAATTCTCTTTACTGAAATAAAATAATGTACTGTAATTATGATATTCAGTGAATTCTTTCGACCTTAATTTTGCTGAATCACCCCTCTACTTTTTTTTAATAAAGATTTTTTAAAAATCTTCACTCGATATTTTTCTATTCATCATCAGATAGAGTGGGAGGGGGAGAGAAACAAGAGAAACACATCAACTGGTTGCCTCCGCACCACCCCGACCAGTGCCGGGGACTAACCGGAACCGAGGT